TTGTAATCTAAATATTGGAAAATCTGCATGTGATAAAAAAAAGTTTACCCAATAGCAATGTTAACTTCGCCAGATTACCCCTGTCTACCTTATAATCTAATGCTATATTTGTTAAAAATAGTAATTAAAGAAACTTTTTCCTAAAAAATATAAAATTTGTTATATTTAATTGAAGTTAAATTTAAATTATAATAAAGAACCATTCTTGAATAAGAGTAATTGAAGGATTAACTAATTTGAAAATATCTGTTGTATATTTTTGAATATCATGGTTAGCTGATATTAATTGAATAAATCGAAGATTAAATATTTGTGTAGTATAAAAAAGTGAACGAGATGGATATAAAAGAAAATGATTAGAAAACTTATTATAAGCAGCTTTAAAAGCTGACTGAAAAATTTTATTAAAAAGTAAAGGCTGTATATTAAATTTTTGAATTGATGTATTAACTTGTAATCCAAAATCGGTATTAGTTTGACCGTGCTTAAGAAATATTTCAAGCTTTTGGATACGCCCCTCAACAAAAGGAAATAATAGATCATATTTGTGTTAAAAAAATTAAGATTTTCAATGAATTGTGATATATATTGTTTGATAAAAGTAAGATATACTTCTATAAGACCATTTTTATTAGAATTGGTAAATATTGCTACAATATTACAAATTGTATCTGAATTTTCTAATTCATGTTCCTCTTGATAAAATCCTTAAATATCATCTAAATAATCTTTAACGTAAAATACCATTGTAAACACAAATTCTATCTTGTTGAGCTTGGTAATAGCATAAATTGTAATGTTAAGGCCGATGGTGATGTTTAGTTTTTATACTATAATAATCCATGCCAACTTAAATAAGTTAAATACTGAGCTCGATGATTTTTGGCATTAGTAAACGTTTTTTAATATTGCTTATTAATTTTTTTACTATATTGAAATGATAAATAGAAACTCAAGCTTCTCTAAAGAATAAAAACCTTAATACTATTAATATATAATATATATATAAATATGTAAATAAAATCAAAACTGACCTGATTAAGTTTATTATATAAGCTAGACATGCATTATATTTGATTTGCAGTATTACTGGGTTTAATATTTTTCGAAAGCACTTTTTCATATAGGCTGCTGAATCTGTTACAAAAAGCCACAGGGCATTAAAAGAAATAAACTATTCTACCAAAATCTAAAGAACTAGCTGTTCTATTGATGCATTATTAACTAATTGCACAAAATTAATTGAAACTAATTTTGTTGAACTACAATAACAAAAAGTATATTCACAACACTACGTGTTCAGAAATCAGTAGTTTTGTCAACTATTATAGCAACTGGTTTATTAGAAAATTCTTCTTTTAACCTCACTAAATGGTTTTCAAATATAAAAGATAAATATTGACTATGAAGAGTTATTACTCCTGGAACTGCACCACCTTCATGACAATATGTTAACAAAAATTCACAAAATTTGTTTAATTTTTGTAAAGGAATATTGGCATTTACCCAAACTTCTAATAAATTACAGATTAATTTTCTTTTAGACTTCCCTGATTTTAATACAGCTAGCATAGTTTGTTGCAATTTATTTTTTTGATTTTTTTCAAATAATACACATCTTTGAATATACTTTGTTCCAGCAATATGAGAGGTAACTGATGACTTATTCAAAAAGCTCACACTATAATTACAGAATCGGCATATAAGTATACTATTATCCGCAACAAAATCTTCAGAAAATTTATTTGCACAAGAAAGTGCAGTTATGGTTTTTGAAGATAGCATCATTTTGTTGCCTTTAGTTAAAATATGTTAAATGCTATTACCATTATAATTTAAATATAATTCTCGTTATGAATCATGCTTGAAAAATATAAAAAAAGAAACAACCCAGGTGCAATTTTAAAATTACAAAATTTTAAAGATACTGAAATTATACAACAATCAAATTGCTAACAAACTTGGTATACTTTATTATAAATTTACGATTTTTGAAAAAGCATCTTTGAAATTAAATTTAATTTATAGTTTTATGTTATTTAAAAATCTTAAATATCATTGGCTGGCTAATATCGTAATTTTGGTGAGTATAACATAATTTTGGATAATTTTGAATAATCAGCAAATTTATAGAATATAAATTTTATAAATTAAGAATTTTTGGATACTTTTGGATAATCACCAAAATTATAAATTATCCTCAAAATTTATAAAAAATTATGAATCTATTATTTTCGGCATTCCTGGTCTTGACTCTGAATTGCAGATTTGTTTTGATAATACAAGAATCACAACATATAATAAAAAATAAACAAAGAAAATATGACAAAAGCTATATGACAAATTCAAACAAAAACAACAAATAAATACAACAATCAACAACAACAAATAACAATAATAGAAAAACAACAAGTCATGCAGATATACCAGTAATAGAAAATTCTGGAATATATAGACCAAAGCCAAAAGAAGCTGAAGCAATAGCAAAAGTATATGATAATAAGACTGAAGAATATAATATAGAGTTTATTACAAAACAACTTAAAGCAAAATTTGCTGAAATAAAATTAATCACAGAAGAAGAAGCAAGAGCACAAATAAGGGTACTGCATAAGGAATGACGGCAATATGCCGGCAATATGACGAAGGTATCGACGCAATCAGAGTGGCCCCCCTAAGTACGGATCATGGGTCACTGTCACTACATTCATGTAATAATAATATAACGTGCATTACCTTTTTTGATTATCTATTGCATTAATAAAAATTATTAGTGTAATAGATAATAGTTATTATTAAATGAATGTAGTGGCGATGACCTGTAACCCGCACTTAGGGGGCCACCCTGGCTGTGTCAAAGGTATCAGTCAGTATATAAGACTCAAACTTAAAACAAGAGACAAGGTTGGTTTTTTAAAAGCAATTAAAAAGAAAAAGACCTAGTTAAATATATTATATATAGAGAAATAAAAGATATTATAGCAGAACTAAGAATAGCTAATGTAATAAGAGAAGTAGAAGAGATTAAAAAGAAACAGGTTGCCAAAATTAAAGAGTTGGAAAAGAAGCAAGTTGCCAAGATAAAGTCGAAAATTGAATCTGGCTGAAGCAAGAAACTTGAAGAGCAAAAGAAAAATTAACAAAATAGCATAACAAGATAGTTTTAAACTCATTAGCACAACAACTTAATCAATTGGTCCAATTTGTTACAGAAAACCAACACAAAGAAAAAAAAGAGTCAAAGAGAAAAAGATAAAATTACAAGCCTGAAAAAGAGCTAAAATAGCAGAAAGAATTTTGCTCAAAAAAGAAAAACAAGCTGCTAGCAGTATAAAACAAAAATAGAACTAGTTTGGCACAAGAGACTAGATGAATAGAGAAAAAAAAAACAAAAGTAGCAAAACAAAGCAGCACTCAAGTTATTAATACAGCATTTCTCAATAACTATCAGAGTATTCGAAATAGAGCATTTTTTAGAAAAAGAAACAATTAAAATAGAAGAATAGTGGTCACAATCCAAGCAAAAAGAAGCCTCGAAGCATTGTCAACAAAAACTAATAAGGGAAAAGAAACATCAGAGCAAAAAATCAAGAGTCAAAGTAAAGAAAACCAAATAAAAAAAAAAGCTCTAAATAAGATTACAGAAAAATCAAGACCAATAATATCAAGAACAGCCATGTTAGAAAAGGAAAAGATAGAAGATATACAAACTAATAGACTAGGCAATAGAAGCTTTGTACTTGTCAAGTGGAAAAGATGCCTAGATCAATAGTAAAAATTGAAAAAAGAAAAAAAAAGATCTACTAGCAGATTGGATTCAACAGACCAAATCTTATACAGTGGAGAACACAGTTAGAAGAAACAGAATCCAAGTTATTATAGCAGAAAGAATAACAAAAGTTATGAATCAGAGAAAGAAAAAGAAGAACATACTTTTGGATATAGCAGAAAGAATTTTATTAGAAGTGTTAGAAAATCGAGAAGCCTATATTGAATTACAAGAGAAGTTTTTTGAAAAGAAGCTGTATCCAAAAAAAAGAAGTGAAAGAAAAGATGCTCAAGTTAGCAGAAGAAAAAAAAGAAGAAAAGAAGACTTGAACGAAATAATTTGTGACAACCACTAGAGAAATAGAAAGAGCTCCAGAGAATACTAAAAAAGAAAAGATCCTCATAAAGACCTCAGAACAGAAAAAAAGATCTAATAATAAAGCTTCAGAACAGAAGAGAAAAAAGCAAAGAGAAGAACCTGAGAAAACTTTTAAGAGCCAGGTCTCTGATCAGAAAGGACCAAATGAATTAGAAGAAACGAAAACAGAAGCGAAGATACAAGAATATTCGAAAAAATATCAGCAATAACCCTTTAGAAGAAAAAGATATAGATTTAGTTATTAATAGAGAGATAAGATTAGATTACTATTAGGCTATACCAATTTAAAACTATGTTTAACATGAACCCCCTCTCTTTGAGCCTCAGATATAGAGGGTAATTGACACTATTTAATATAAAAATCATATTAAATGTTTAACAAAAAATTTTTTTAGCCAATCAAAATCTCATATTTTTTTACCTCTTCTGTTTTTATTTTATTAATATTATATTAAACATAGAATTAAATTAGAATAGCCTTATAGAAAGGAGGATAGTTTAGAAGAGAAAAATTGCTAATTTAGTATAGATAAAATTTCTTTTAATTTGAAACCATTTTAGTATAGTTTCACTGATTAGCTTGATATAGCCCTCTGGTACAGTAATAGCTTTAATCGGTGAGGCAAACTGTATTTGGGCACCTATAGAAGAAACCGAATAATAACAGATTTGTAACTTAGATAGTTTAGAATATAATTATATTTGCTTTGATCTAATAAAGATATCGGCAAGGCTGCTAATATGTTAAAAAAAAAAACATTAAAAAATAATCTACTTTACTCTTAATTATTCACAAATAATAATATATATATATATATAATTTACATAAATATTCATAGAGAATTTATAAATATCTAGAAAATTTACAGATATTTATAGAGGATTTGCAAGTATTTATAGAGAATTCACAGATATTCAAATAATTTCATATAATTGCATTTCTTAACTATTTATATAGAATATTTATATAGGGTGTAGTGATATAGCAAAGTAGTAAAGTTATCACCTCCAAGCGGCAAGTCAAAAGATCAAATTAACGCCTATTCTTACGTAACACTTTAAGTAAGAATAGGTGTTACTAATTAAATTTAATTAATAAAAAAGTATATAAAGTAGAACAAACTAAAAAGAATAAAAATTAAATTAATAAAAGAGACAAAAAAAAATTAAGTTTATTAATTTAACAAAACAAAACACAACAAAAATAAAAAAATAACGACAAATCAATTACTTTATCGATGAATTTTGAAGAAAAAAACAGGTTTCCTAGCTTTTATAAACTGGACAAAATTTTACTTAACGAAAAAAAATGTGTAGAATTTCTTTTTGAGCAAGGACTTTTACAAAAATCAACTAAATGTTTACATTGTGGATATAGAATTCTTTATTTTGTTTCAACAAGAAAAATTTTTAGTTGCAGAAATTGTATGAAAAAAACAATTTCTGTATATAAAAATACTATTTTTTATAAACATAAAGTAAAATGCAATCAAATTTTATTCATAGGATATCTTTGGTTGATTAAAGCAAG